TGAAGACATTTGGAAAAGTTAAAGGAAACCAAGGGTTATTTGATAAGGCTATGGTCTTAGAGATTGTTTTAATGATTTCATCAAAAAAACAAGACAAACTAAATAGTTAACATTAGATGTTTTTATGAAAAAGTGAATTTTACCCATATCTTTGTTTGAATAGTATATGCACATCTCTGTACCTAATTTGGATAAACATGGAAATGAAAAAAAATGGTTTAAGTTCTCTTCCAGTCCTACAAAGTTGAAAAGAAACACTTTCTGGGTGTTTATGAGGTTGTTGTTAGGTGCTGTGGAGCCCAATCTGACTCATAGCGACCCCATGAACAACAGAACGAAACACTGCCTGCTCCTGTGCCATTCTCACAATCGTTGCTATGTTTGAGCCCATTGTTGCAGCCACTGTGTCAATCCATTTCACGGAAGGTCTTCCAGTTTTTCTCTGACGCTCAACTTTACTGAGCATGACGTTCTTCTCCAGGGACTGATCTCTCCTGATAACACGTCCAAAGTACGTTAGAGGAAGTCTTGCCATCCTCATTTCTAAGGAGCATTTTGGCCGTACTTCTTCCAGGAGAGTGACGGAAAAGTGGTAAGACTGCACCCTGTCAAAGGCAGAAATTTTGTGACACCAGGAAAAGCAGGTTTCACTGTATGTGAAGTAACGTAGGGGTCCAACTTCATGTTTTGTATGTGGATATCCAACTGTACCACCAATATTTGTTGTTTAAAAGGCTGTTCTTTCTCCATTAAATTGTCTTGTCACCTTGTTCAAAATCATATGATCAGAAATGAAAGGGCTTATTTCTAGACTCTCAATTCTCTCTTCTCTTCTGTATTCTATTCCATTGGTTTTCACATCTATTCTTTTGTCAGAAGCCAGCTTCATACAGAGAATTTTCTTTCTGACTTTCCAATCTGAATACCTTTTACTTTTCCTTCCCTAATTGTTTTCAGTAGAATCTCCAGTGTAATGTTGACTCAAGTGCTGAGAACAGGAATCCTTGTCTTGTTCCTAACCTTAGGGAGATACATTCAGACTTTCACCATCAGTGTAATGTTAGCTGTAGGGTTTTGGAAGTGTTCTTTTCATGTTTCTATTTCTCGTTTGCTGAGTGTTTTCATCATGAAGGGACAGAGGATTTTGTCAAATGTCATTCCCTAATTAATTGGGGTGATCATTTGTTTTTTGTCATTTATTCTATTATTTTCAGATGTTAAGCCAATGTTGCTTTCTCTGGATAAATCCATCTTGGTCGTACTGTATATACTCTGTATGTTGCCTGATTTTGATTTGTTATTATTTTGTGCAAGATACTTCTTTTTATATTCTAAAGAAATGTTGCTCTGTAGTGCACATTTGTGTTCTTAGGGTAAAACTGGCCTCATAGCGTAAGACGTTAAGTATTTCATTTTGGTCTCTTTTTTTCATAGAGTTTATGAAGGACTGATATTAACTCTTTCTGAATGTTTGCTAGAATTCACCAGTGAACCCATCTGGGTTTGGAGATTCATTTGCAGAAAGCTTTTTAGTTGCTAATTCATCATCTTTGTTTTTAACAGGTCTATTTAGAATTTCTATTTATTCCTCTATCAGTTTGTGTAAGTTGTGTCTTTCCAGGAATTTGTCAATTTCTTATAGGTTATCAAATTTATTAGTATATTGCTGTTCATAGTATTCTTTTATAATTTTTTTTTATTTCTGTAACACTGGCAATGATATCCACATTTTTATTCCTGACTTTAGTCATTTGAGGAGTCTCTATTTTTCTTTCCACCATTCTAGCTAAATATTGTCAATATTGCTAATATTTTTAAGGTATCTGCGTTTTGTTTCATTTCTTTTCTGTATTGTTAATCTATTATCCATTTCATTTATTTATTTTCTAATCTTTTTTATTTTCTTAAAATGTTTGCCTTGGGTTGGTTTACTTCCTCCTTTATACTTTCTTGCCCATATATAGTAGATAGTTATAGATACCTGCCATCAAGTGCACTGGGACTCATGGCGACCTTATACACAGAACAAAGCTTTTCCTAATCTTGCATTATTCTCAGGATTGCCCGCATGTTCAAGTTCATTGTTGTGGCTGTTGTGCCAATCCGTCTTACTGAGGTCTCCTTGCCCTTACTGGGCCTCTGCTTCGCCAAACATGTACTCCTTTAGCAATAGATTCCACCTGATGATGTGTCTAAAGCAAGCCAGTTGGACAATATTCTATTCTGATCCATAAGGTTTTCACTGGCTAATTTTTATAAATAGATCACCAGGACTTTCTTCATAATCTTACTATGGAAGTCCCACTGAAATCTGTCCACCATGGGTGACCCTGCTGGTATTTGAAATATGAGTGGCACAGCTTCCAGCATTATAGCAACACACAAGCCACCCCAGTGTGACAAACTGACAGACGGGTGGCGGGTACATATGTAACATGCATTAAATGTCATCAACTTCCCTTAAAAAGCATGTAGCCTTGACACATACGACTGAATTAGTTAAATCAGTTTAAGTTGTTGATACCTGTCTAAAGTTACTTTTTTGAAGCAACGGAGTTTGATAAATGAAAGATGGAAGAGAAGGTTTTAGAGACTGTGTCCTCCAGGGAATCAGGTTTGGTTGAATATTTGGAGAAGAAAACTACGAAAAGACACAGGGAACAAGATTTAATTTGGTAAGGATTTCTTTTCAGAATCTTTAGGTATTACATTATCACTTCCACAGAGCAGCTCTATTAGGTAGCTACAATTATAGTCATCATTGTACAGGTGATAGAACTGAAGCATAAAAATTTCAAATAAAAATAATTGATTACTTACATGCCAGTAGCTAATGTAAAGTGCTTTTCAAATAACCTGTGAAGAATACACTATTTCTATTACATTTTACGAAGAAGACTGAGTCAAAAGAAGTATGTAACTAGATCACAGAGCTAATAGCGTAGAATTAGAATTTATACTCAAGTGGTCTGGCTCCATTGGACGTTGCTCATGTCATTAAACTTTGTATTATACTGCTTCCTCTTTATCGGTACGTTGATAAAGGACGTTAATAAAAGCGTCCATCTGATGCTCTTCACCACTACACAAGACTGCCCTGCAGTATGCTTTGGAATAGAGGAAATAAAAACCTAGGAAGAAAAATTAATCAAGTATTGAGACTCTTTTAATTTCCCAGTGTTTTCTTATTAAAATTGACTCCTGATGGCTTGACCATGTGACTTGTTTTGACAGAGAAAGTGAAAACATGAGTTGTGTGCCCAGGCATCAAGATGTACAATTCTGCGTGCCCCTCTGAGAACTGATGACCTGGGCTATGAGAAGGATGTGCACCCATGTTCTGAGCTCACTGTTCTGAGAATAAGACACATGAAAAAAATCTGAACTAAATTAGTGGACTGCAGCTAAGATCATCTAAGCCCAACCTGTAACAACTGAAACCCATCCCAACAACAAATGCGTGATGAGAAAAAATATGCTTATTTTTTTTGAATGTCAATGCAACCTTGTTATTGTTTATTATACAACTTCAATGATGTGACACAGTTACAGCTTACGTATTATATAAAATGAAATTTTAATCTATTTAAAAAGTTAAATGTATGTATCAATTTATTTTGCTAATAATAGTCAATGATAAGCTCCCTTCCTCTTTTTAATTGAATGATGGTGGAAAGGTCACTCAATGATTGATAAATTACTAAAACTTATTTTGAATACTGCAAATAAGTAGCTGTTTAAATCAAACAAATGCTTTTATCCTTTCGATTCTTTTTTTCTTCCTCATTTAACATTTTAGCTTTTCATGATGATAAAATGTGAAAGAAGGAAGAAGATAGAGAATGGGTAAAACACCTTCCAAAATGTCAGAAATCCAGTGGAGGAAAACACAGACATGTGACAATTATCAAAGGAGGCTGAACTTCACCCAGTGAAAATATCAATCTCTACCAAAAATGGAGCTAAGTAGTGATAATGTTGCACTAAACTGGAGTTTGAAGATACCTGTTGGTTCTACTCTCTGAGGAAGTGGAGCAGATACAAAGGTCCATTATACTGCAATTCTGTGGCGTGTCACAATGGTGACTTTGTGTGCCAAATCACAGTTTATTCTCTCTCATCTCCAAATCTATCCTATCCTTTGCCCTGTTTCATAATAATGAAGCTACAGCCTATAAACTTTGCTCCCTTGCCAACTGGCATGATGTTGAGCTCTATCAGTAGAAGCCATTGGGGAGACACTGCAGGAACAAAGGCTCTTCTTCCTGGATTTGTGATGCTTCTTCTCCTTTTCCTCCTATTGAGGGGTGGGGAGGGGGCTGCCAGCTGGATATATGCCAGACATCCATGGTATTCAGCTGCCAGCAAGTTTTGTTGCCAGTCCCTGTCATAGTTCCTTGCCCTCTAGCCTCTGCCCACTGGCTCTTTGGTAGGGGAGTCTTTCTGCTTGCCAGCCTAGCTGAGATGCCATCCCCACCAATTCTAGTCTCCTGGCTTGGACCTGCTCTGTCCCAGGACAACCCAGTGAACACTGCAGTGGTTCAATGGACTGCAGCCACACAGGTCTCTGATTGGTCTGAAACCCACCTATCAGGTTTGTTCTTTCTTTGGGTATCCTCTTTCAGCACTCAGGTATCCTTTAGAGTTTTCTTTCATCCTATATTATTTAACCCTCCCCTGCAGATAGTTAACAACTATTGACACAAACTTTCTCTGGTTTCTGTCTCCTAACTGGGCTCTGACTTACACACCTTCCACTAGGGATCGTTGTGTCCTCATTTCAAACAACTTCAAGGGCCAGGAGAAACCAACTGCTCCAAAAATGTGCATGAATGTATTCACTTTATCGAGGACATGGAAATAATACTTCTTGATAATATTACAATTTAACATTTACACATAATTTATTTAAGCAAATAGCAGAAGCTTACTAAATATGTAATATGCATCTTTATACAAGAGTAAAATAAGTAGGAAACAAAAGGACGAATGCATGGTCCTACTTCTATGAAATATCTGGATGAGGCAAATGTATAAAGACCAAAATTTATTAGCAGTGATAAAGGCAGAAGGGAAGGAGAAAGGGGGAGTCATTGCTAGGAGACACTGAGCTTCTGTTAAGGGTGATGGGAAAATGCAGAGATGGACAGTGGTGATGGATACACAACATGATGGAGGTAACTAAGGTCACTACATTCTATGTGTAAAAATGTTGAAATGACAAATTTCTGATTATACATATATTTTTAAACTAATGTAAATTAAAAATGTAAAATAACTGTATGTACTTAAAAAAAGTATGGCTTTTGAAGAAACTAGAAATATGCGTTCATAGATGGGGAGTAGCACTATACCGAACTTAGGGAAGCTGTCATGCCTGGTGCTTACAAACATATGTTTTTTCTCCAGGGCAGTGTCTAGAATAAAACACGCTATACTTAAAAGGAAAACTTCTGCAATTCTGGTCCCTCTTTGGAGATACTGAAAACCTGGAATAGAGAGAATAATTTTTTTTAAGAACAGATATATGTATATTTAAATATACATATGAAAATAATATTCATGGAGTTATCCTTTATTATAATGCATTAATATTGATAATATATAAATTAATAATATAACAAATATTTCATTCTTAAATAATTTATGTAGACTTATAGTTATATATCTAAATCTGACTATTTCCTGTACTATTTCTCTATGAAGACTTAAATAATTTTAGGTTTATAATTGTTCATATATTGTTTTTTCTTAAGTTATAAAATACAGGAGTTCTCAAAAATCTTACACTTTGGAGGAGAAAGTTGAACTGCCATTAAATCCAATCCATGTTAAAACACTGAAAGAGCTAATGACATTCTAGGAGAAAACAGTTTTAAGAGAAATCAATTATGTGTTATTATAATAATTAAATTATTACTATAACAAATAAAGTGAATTCTTTATTACTGTAGCATAATAAAAAAAAAAAAAAAAAAAAAAACCCATTGCCATGGAGTTCATTCTGACTCATAGAGACCGTATAGGACAGGGTAGAACTGCCCCGTAGGGTTTCAAAGGAGCGTCTAGGGAATTTGCACTGCCGACCTTCTGCTTAGGAACCGAGCTCTTAACCACTACACCATGAGGATTCCTTGGACTGTACATAGCCCCTCAACTGCTCACACAGTGAGTGGTACACACTGGACACGTTATAGACAGTGATTAGTGTGACTGAGTAAAGGGGTCAGATTGACAAAAACAATACTTTCAGGGCTCTGGAAACTGATCAAAGTCAAATAATAATTTGAAAAAGATTTATTCTTGGGGAGCTACTAGAGATTGAAGTAAGGATTGTATACATCTGCAGTCTTCTTGCCCAGGCTGCTCACTACTCTTCCCCACCACAGCTCAGTGAGAATAACGGCAGAGTTTACAGCATGGCGCAGGCTGCAGAAGTCAGCAGTGTTACTGCCAGACGGAGCGGATGTGACTGGAGGTGAGAGGTGAGGATCACAACCCACAGGTTTTCCAGTTTGAAATACTGAAATTGGCTGAAGATGATTGAGTAAAGGCTGAGTTTGTGGTCCCCATGGGAGTGAGTAGAGTACCAGCCATAAATTTAACAGAGAGATCCTAAAAATAAGGGTCCAATAAAAGAGATAGCATTCGTTGTCTATATATTCTTGGATGACTGAATAAATATCACGTTTTCAGGGGAGACCTAGGAGTTCCCAGTGAAAACTACAAGCAAATGGAGACTTGAGAACTCGCTGCAAAGTTATGAGCACTTCACAACACACACACACTAACAGACACACACACACCACATCAGTGACAGAAGGAGGAAGTCCTATAGAGCTGAAGTCTTAGAATAGGACCTCTACTTAAATCACTGGCTAACAACAAAGCTCTGTGGTCACAGGAAAACTCTTAGGAAGCCAGGCTAAAAAATAAAACATAACAGAAATTACAGTAGAAAATTGGCAAAGGACTGGGATAGACATTTCATCAAAAAAGAAATACAAATAGACGACAAGTACATGAAAAGATATTCAAAGTCATTAGGCATTACAGAAACGCAAAGCAAAACCACAGTGTGCTCTCACTTCACACCCCTAAGATGGCACTGATTTCAAAAACAAAAAACAGCAGGTATTGTTGAGGATGTGGAAAAATTGGAAACCTCATCCACTGCTGGTGGGATGGTAAAAAGGTGCAGCCAAGGTGGAAAATAGCTTTGGTGGTTACTCAAAAATTTAAACATAGAATTACTATCCTATCCAGTAATTCCCCTGCTAGGTAGATACCCAAAAGATTTGAAAGCAGGAACGCAAACAGATACTTGCACACTTGTGTTCCCTGGAGCACTATTCACAATAGATAAAAAATTGGAAACAACCTGAATGTCCATCAACAGATAAATGGATAAATAAAACGTGGTACATACAATGGAATATTATTCAGCCATAAAGAGAAATTAAGTCTTGAAACATGTTACAACATGGATGAACTTTGAAAACATAACGCTGAATGAAATCAGTCAGCAAAGGACAAATATTGTATGATTACACTGATGTGAAATTTCTAGACGAGACAAGTGTATATAGACCAAAGCCTATTGTGGGTTATACGTGTCGAGAGTTGGGAGGAAGAGAATGGAAAGGGAGGACACAGTGTTTAGCGGACACAGAGCTTCTGTTTAGGGTGATGAGGATCCTTGGGAATGGATAATGGTGTCGGCTGAACAACACAATAAATATAATTAATGTCACTGAGTTGTACATGTGAAGAATGTTGGAATGGCAAATGTTTTGTTACAAATATATTCACGAGAATAAAAAAAAATTGAAAGTGGTTTCATTAGAAACAATCTAGTGAAAGCCTGACTACAGTAATGACTTAAGCAAGATTGCTGAACACGAGGTCAATATACAAACATACATCATCGTCGTGTGCTCTGTTAGCAGCATCAGAAGAGGAAAGATGAAAGATAACTAGAGCCAAAGTGAATCAAATGGTACAAGACTTCTATCTAAAGTACACAACTGTATGGAGAACGTAAACAGAGTATGGAGAAGGTAAAGGAGCCCTGGTGACGCAACAGTGAAGCACTCGGCTACTAACTGAAAAGTCAGCAGTTCCAACTCATCAGCGGCTCCACAGAAGACCTGGCAATATGCTCCTGTAAAGAGTGTAGCCAAGGATACCCTACGGGGCAGTTCTACTCTGCCCTATAGCATCCCTGTGAGTCAAATCGACTCAATAGCACACAATAACCACACAAGGCATGTTAAGACATAATAGTATAAAGATGTCAATTGTGAACAATTAATCTATTGATTAAATATAATTTAAATAAAGTCACCTCATGGTTGCGTGACAATGTTTATAAAGGCACTAAAAGGGCCAGTGCAACAGGATGTTCTTGAAGAAGACTGTGATGAAATTATTTGTTGCACTGAGTATCAAGATTTAACAAACATCTTTAGTAACTTTTACCATGTGGTTTTGGTGCAAGAGAAAAATAGAAAAATGAAACACAGTCCCCATGTCCCTAAATACATCACATTCAGACACAGACACAGACACACACAGGAACCTGATTTATGACAAAGGTGGCAGAGAGAAGAATGGAGAAATGGTCATCTTTGCTACATGTTATGCTCCATCAACTGAGTCATGATGTAGACAAGCATGAACTTCACTTCTCTCTCACTTCATCAATAATACAGCAGCACAAAAAATAAATTCCCAATGAATTGTTGATCTAAATGTAAAAGGTAAAAAAATAAAATGAAGAAGCAAGATATTTCCTACAGTAAATACAAGAGAATATCTTCATGAAACTTGACTAATTTCTGCATTAGGTCCAAAATAAGCACTAACACCTGCAAAAATGCTAAACTGGACTATTGTAACATCAATACAGGTTGTTTGTTAAAAGTCTCAAAATATTAAAAGTAAAACTTTAAGTCACTGAGAAAAAAGAAGCTGTTTAAATCTCATAAAAACAAGAAAGAGCTCATATTCAAAATATGTCATCAACTTATTGGAAGGAAAAGACAATCTCATAGGAAAAATGGACAAGAGACAACAGGCACTTCACCAAGAGGGCATCCTAATGCTAACAGCACATAGGGAGCTGTTCAGTCCAACAGTAATCTGGAAAATGCATTATTAATATCACAATGATACCGATATAAAACCATAAAAACTTCCAATATTAAAATTCCTCAAAGTACTAAGTCCTGATGAGTGCAAGGATCAAGGAATACGTTCAGACACTGTTGAATAAAACTGATACATGTAAAAAAACTAGGAAACTATTAAATAATTTTACACATTTTGACATGCCCAGATACCTATGAAATTTAATTCCTACACAAACAGGTAAAATGTGGACACATTACATACACAAGGATGTACAGAGAATAGTTATTTGTAATAGGCAAGTGTTAGAAATAATCCAAATATCCATGCACAGTAAAATGGATTACAAAATATTATATTCACATAAATTAGCAGTGAAAATTAGCAAACTACAGTGAACTGCAACAAGATAGATGAATTACATCAATGTCTTACATCAGTAAGAGGAAACAGACCAAAGAGAAAATGCATACTGTGTGATTTCATAGATAATAAGTGGAAAAACAAGCAAAGCTATTCTATAATATATAAAAGAGAATAGTGCTTTAGGGAGGAGAGAGAACCACTGAGAGCAGACACAAGGAAGTGGCTTCTAGGGGGCTGTAAACATCTATTTCTTAAACTTATCTGTAAATAAACAACAAAAAAAAACCTCACCAACTTTGTCGCCACAGCGTCGATTCTGACTCATGGCGACCTCGCGTTTCACGGACTAGAACTGAGCTCCACAGGTTTTCCTGGCTGGCTGTAACCTTTTTCTCCTTTTGTAAAATTGTATTGTGTTTTAAGTAAAAGTTTACAGGGCAAATTAGTTTTTCATTTCAAAATGGATACACACCTTGTTTTGTGACATTGGTTGTAGTCCCCACAATGTGTCAGCACTCTCTGCTTCCCTTTTAAACCCTGGGTACCCCGTGTTCTTTGTCCGGGTTTCCTGTCCCTTCTTGCTTTCTCATCTTTGCTTTTGGGCAAATGTTGCCCATTTGGTCTCATATACTTGATTAAACTAAGAAACACGTTCCTTAAACGTGTATTATTGTTTGTTTTATAGGATTACTACAAATCTCAATCGACTCAACAGCAACGGGTTAATCTTTGGCTGAAGGAGGACTTCAGGAGTGGCTTCAGTTCTGACTTGACAGGGTGTCCTGGCGCCAAAGTCTCTGGGGTTACTCCAGTCTCTGTCAGACCAATAAATCTGGTATTTTCTTGTGAATTTCAATTTTGTTCTACATTTTTCTCCTGCTCTGTCCGGAACCCTCTATTGTGATCCCTGTCAGAGCGGTTGCTGGTGGTAGCTGGGCACCATCTAGTTCTTCTGGGCTCAGGCTGGTGGAGGCTGTGGTTCATGTAGAAGCAGATTGCTAGGACTTTCTTTCAGGGTGATGCTGAACTGTTGACTTTTTGAAGATCAGCAGAGTGCTGAAACACTGCACCACCAGGGCTCTTTACTCTGAGACAGGGTATTTTTAAATACTTGGGTCATTCACTGTCTAGGAGCCCTGGTGGCACAGTGGTTAAGTGCTCGGCTTAGAATCGAAAGGTCGGCAGATAGAACCCACTAGCCCACTCTGTGGGAGAAATACTGTGGCAATCTGCTTCCATAAAGATTTACAGTCCTGGAAACCAGAGGGGGCAGTTCTAGGGTAACTATGAGTTGGAATCAACTTGATGGCACAGGGTTTTTAGTCACTTTCTGATCAATCTGCACAATTATGTATTTAGTTGTTTTTTTTTT